CGCATCTCCAAATATGAATGAATATATTTGGAATGGAGCCTTTAAAGAAATAATTGAGCTAAGTGGTATCATCTGGCTGGGACCTCATGCAGTTATGTTGGATGTTTCCATAAAGAAGCGACATCCGGCCGTATTCACACAAAGAAAATGACTGTGAAGACACCGAAAGATGAAAGATGTTTACCCTACGAAGGGAGGCCTAGCTGATTCCTTGCTCTTAAACTTCGACTCTAAAACTGTGAAAGATAAATTTCTGTTGTTTAAACCACCCATCCTATGGTGCTTCATTAGGGTAGCCTATCTTAGTTACTTTTCTTGTTACTGAGACAAAATACCTGGTACCCAAAGTTAAAGGAGGAAAGCTTTGTTTAGCTCACAATTGGCAGAGGTTTCAGTCCATAATTGGCTGGCTCCAAGGCAGGGTGGCTTGGCAGAGGGGCATCACAGAGCAAAAATTGTTCATGGCAGTCAGGAGCCACGAAGGCAGCAAAGCAGAGCAGCAGCAGCAGCAGCAGCAGCAGCAGCAAGTGACAAGCGATGACAATGGCAGCTCTCTTTTTGTCTCTTATACTTTACCTAGACTACTCATCCTTAGGCAGATGGTGCTCACACCCTAAATCCTAGTACTGAACTGCGCATCAAGCCCAGCATCACACACTCCACATCCACATGCCCTAAAACGCCCTACCTACAGTGGCATAATACTTTGGGGGATATCTATATGCTAGCCATAATACAGATTTAGCAAACAGTACAGCCAGATAATGTAATACCTGCTGCATATTAATTCACATTTAATTGTCATAATAATTGAATGAAGTAGCTACTGCTTAGTGAGGGGCTGCAATTTATATGTTGCCCACAGAAAAAACTATTCAGAGGATGGTCAAGCCTGATCTCAAAAGTAGGTACATATGGGCTGGTGAGATGGCTCAGTGGTGTAAAGCACCTACTTAGCACAAGCTTAGCAAAGCACAAGGGACTGCGGTTCAATCCCCCAGCACCACATGCCAGCCAGCCCTCCCCCTGGTGAGCTGAGCTGGCCACACACATAAATAAAATAAAATAAATTTAAAAAAAAGTAGGTACATAGAATAATCTAACTCACAGATGGATGAAGTGAGAAAAGGAATGTAATGCAGCCAGGCATTTGCCCAACACATGATCTCTTTCCTCAAATTATCTTTACCCCTTATTGAATGTCCTCCTGGCTCACTACATTAGAGAAGTGCAAGGTATGTTCCTAGAATGAGTTTGGATGAAGCTTGCAATGTTACTGCCAGCTCTTGTGAGTCACAGAAGGCTTGAGCATTCGTGAGGACGCATCACAGCCTCCAGTAGGGGTCAGAGCCATTGTCCTTACAGACTGCTGCCCATCTTCATGAACAATGAAACTGGAAGCTCCCAAGATATGCTCCTACTTTAGTACAAATAATGGACATGATAACTTGTAGGTATATAATGTTTTCAGTCTTATATAGAACTGTTTGACATGGCTGTACTTTTTAAAAATAGTGTGAATTGTGATGATCGATTTGGGTTTGAATTCTGGTTAACCTGTCAATGGCGCAATCCTGTTACTTAACCCAGCAGGATTTCTCCTCTATAAAATGGTGATGGTGATGGTAGTAGGGATGAGTGGTACTCACTTTATAGGATAAGGGTTGAGAATGAGAGAAATGTACACTGTAATGTTTGATGTATAACAGGCATCCACTTTCCTTCCCTAGAGATGGTATTTGCCTCAGCAGACTTGAGACCCCTGCTTGTTTATATAAGTAGCATCTTCTCATGTTACACAGTGTGACAGTTGAGGAATGGTGCCAGTCTGAGTAAGAGAAGCCTAACTAAGTGGGCTCAGCAAGTCCCCATCCTAGGGTGGCTTGAGACCTGGATGGCATAAAGGAACGGGGGGCCAATGTGCTTTTGCTTTTGGGGGGAAGCTTCAATCTTTGCCCTCACCCTGGACGTCATCTCCTAGCTTCTAGAGCAGACTCTGGCTGTTAGGTGCAGATCCTTCGTCCTTCTTGCATA